AGAGAGAGAGAGAGAGAGAGAGAGAGTTATGACATACAGGAACACTATCATTAACATCCCATAGGCGCAAAGTGTTGTCTGTAGAAGCAGAAGCAAGTTCAGTGTTTGACATGAATTTCACGTAAGACACGGCCTTCTTATGGGCGCTGAAGCTGATCACTGGCTGATTGGTTTTCCTCAAGTCAAAGTAATGAATATGATGATTTGCGGAACCAACCTTCAAGTCACGATTATAATGCGAAACTCGTAAACTTACCTCATGTGGATATGTTAAAAAGAAAAAAAAAAATTAATGTAATAAAGGAAAAAGCATACCGCGATATGATTAGACCAGGGGTTATATTTGACGGAACATATATTGGCTTTCATGTCGATATTGAGAGCGCTCGTCTCTTGTTTGGTACACCACACCTTTACCTTTTTGAAAGCTTTCATCTTAGTTCTTGTGTTTAAAATCAAATACTAAAATATCAGAAAGCTTCAAAGACAAATTCGTATATTTTCAAACGTACCTTGCAATCATCACTTCCTGATACAAGCATCGAAGGTTCCGTACTGGAATAATCGACACTCCACGCTCGTTTTTCATGCTCCTCATACTCCATCACACTCTACAATCCATACAAGTAAGTTTATATATATATATATAAACTATAAAGTAAATTACATGACAGAGCAACTGACTTTGTATAGGTACTTACCTGCCGAGTGTTCACATCCCAAACAGTTATTATGCCTTCATAGTCACTGCTAGCCATTTGATTTTTAGTGTATCTATTCCAGCTTACACAGCTTAGTTTGGATCGTGTCGACATTTCTGCAATAGGGAACTGCTCGTCGGCTGATCCATTAAGTACCTGAACAATTTATCATTCATGGTTTAGGAATGTTGCTGCAAGAAAATCTAAGGTAATGATTTTATTTTTTTTCCTTACCAAAAAACATCTTAAATATGAACCGAAGCCTTGAATATATGTAAAATTTTCCAAGCACATACCGCTGCAAAATCGAAAATCTTGATGCGACGTGATACACCAGCTGTAGCAAATAATTCATCATCTCGGTCGAACTCAATGCTGCAATAACCGGACAGTAACAATAAGAATTATGAGGCATTCAATTGAAAGCAATACGTGTCAAAGTGAACTTACCTTGATATGATATTATTAGCTGAGTGAAACAAATCTTCATGTCTTATTTCAGCAACAACCCGTAACCGACTAAAAATTATTTTCACCAAAAAGTGAATTAGCAAAGTGATGACATTAGAGAAAAAAAAAATAATAATAAGGATGTTCAAGAAGAGATGTACCCATATCTTGTGAAAGTTGACAGCACAGAGTTAAACTCCTCAAGCCCTCCAGATAGACCTTCTCTGTTAAGGCCGTGTAAATCGAGTTCAGTCATTTGACTAGCCCAATATCGCCTTCTTTGCAAGTAATACTCTTGCAGATCATTAAACTGTTAACAGTATAAAAGTAATTATTCATAACTTTTATTTAAAAAAAAAAAACGCGGTTCTTATAGTAATACGAAAAAAAAAAGGTGACCTGAGCATGAACTCGTCTCTTTTTCGCCACCACAATTCCAGACTGAGTATGATTTTGAGTGTCAGAGCCACTAAAAGCATCATTCTTGAGTGTTAAATGAGTTGAAGAAGAAGATTTTGGATCGGCTTTTATATTTTGCGTGTAAACTGTACTCAAACAAGCCGACCCACCATACTCCTTCTTGGAAGAGTATCTGTCCGTCATTCGGCACAATTCTAATCGACGCCTCTCGACAGCTTCAATATCCTCTTTTATACCGTGAAGATCGTCCTGTATCTGTCCACACACAATCGGAACCCACATGGATCGGCATAAATGAGTAGTTCTTTTATATTAATCTCATGTTTTGAATAGTTAACTTCTTAAAAATATGTATGTTATTGGGCAAAAACAAGAGAGTGATATAACCTCATTCAGCTCAACAACTTTTTTCATTCTCAGAGAGAGCATAAATTCAAACAGTATTTGGAGATTTGTCTCGGCTTCTTGTTGCTCCATTTTGTCTTTCTTCTCCGAGATAAGAGACAACAGGCTGCTGAGATCCTTCACTGATGTTTGACATCCCTGTTGAAATTATATCAATATAACCATATAAGATCGAATTAACACTGTTGTGAAAGAAAATAAGCCATTTAATGTGCTCCAATTAGTGTTGTTAAATTGAACGAGCTCAGCTCGGCTCGTTAATGCTCGAGTTCGAGGCCTTAACGAGCCGAGCTCGAGGTCATTTAAAGCTCGTTTGGCTAATAGCTCGACTTGATAAGGCTCATTAAGGCTCGAGGCCTTAACGAGCCGAACTCGTGCTCGATTTTAGGCTCGTTTACTTAACGACCCGAGCTCGGCTCGGCTCGTTAAAGGGCTCGAGCTGGAGTACTCTAAGCTCAAGCTCGGCTCGTTTACAGCTCTAGCTCAAAATCATGAAAATTTTTGCACCTGTTCTAGTGCACGACGAAGTTGTTCAGTTGGAGAGGCATTTTTGGCTATTTCACGATTGGAAGACTTCATCAACAACTACACAATGAAAGAGTAACACAAAATAAGATAAATTGTAAATGACAATCACAAGATCAATGCAACAAATTTGTTGCAAAAAAAA